GTTGGTAAATATAGTTACATATTTGTAAAATACATCATTTTATTGCCATTGAGAAAGGTGTCATGGTGCACCATGCATCACTCTCCAATGCCCCGCTTGACTTCCTGGTAGCTGAAAACCTTGCAGGCTATCTGCTCAATCTCACTGATCTCCCCACGCTCCATCAGACAAGCAAACCATCCGTCATCAATGTAAGCCAGGTCTGAGTAAGCACTGGGTCCCTTGTTAATGATCCAGGGTTTACTCCATGCGTTTGACTTGCTTGGAATTTTGTTCAAATAAACCCCTAAATCAGTGCGTTTGGACTTATTGCTCGGGTGGGTGAAGAGCAGCCACTTGTTTGGGTTCTGGCTTGGATCTCTATCTGCATGAGTGTCTTCACTCTGAGCTGGAAAGGACACCACACTCCCCTGACAGCCTGTACCTGTCTCCACAAGCTTGTCAGTGGGCGGAAGGATGATAAAACCTGCCCCATCATTCTTATCAAGAGCTTCCACCCTGTGGCCTCCCTGACTACGAGCATTGCAGTAAATGGAGTTGAGGCCTGTGTCATCAGACACCTCTGCCATCTCACACTCAAGTGATACTTTTTGAATCCTGCTGCTAAATTGCCATGATTTGCCCTGATCGTCGCTGTACAGATAGAGTGCATATGGGCTACAACAATAAAACTTTATACAACAGCAGCATGAAGGGGAACAGGACGCATACCCATAAACTGGGACAATCAATCTACCGCCCTCTGTTTGAATACCATGACCTGGTCCGACAGCAAATGTGGCCCAGCTTTTGATTTCATCCAGTTTGTCCGTCAGATCAGTCACTCCACTCCAACTTTGTCCAGCATCTTTGGTCGTAATGTAGCAGAGACGGGCTTTGTTGCGGTTGCAGCATATCTGGTAGAGCTCTGAGACGGTGCCTTCGACACAGATGAAGAAGAGGAAAAGTGTTTTGCTGTTTTTCTCGTACAGAGGACAGGGGTTCATGGGACGGTATCCTTTAATATGGGCCTCCTTCACCAGTTTGAGCTCTGACCACTAGAAAAGATATCAGTCAAAGGTGAATATAACATATAAAAGTAGTTAGAATATGTTTGTAAGTACGATCTCTGCAGGTCATCTACTGATAAAGCCTTAGCTGATATGTATAATGAATTACCTTAACTGTCACTCTATGGGTTGTTTCGTCCTTGTTCACTGTTCCTGTCTTCATGACCAGCGCTACTGCACTCGCATCATCTGAAGTCTTCCGCTTCTCTGAAAAGGCCATCAGGATATTTCTGTCTCTGTCGTAGAAAAGAGCAGGGATCCTGAACACATCGTTCTCCTTGGAAATAAAGACGGTGTTCTCATCCTCTACTGCTTCGTAATGGCTCGAGGGTTTGTTGCCCATGTCTGCACGTGAAGTGATCACAACAGCTTTCGACTCCTCGATCATCACTGGGAGTTATATTCTAGGTTCTTTAGTGCAGGAAGTGAATGAGGGAGGAGTCTTTACAACAAACAAACTCGCTGAGTCAACACTGATAAAAGAACTGTGACAAACTACTATCTGACTCTTTTTATTTATAACAGGTGAGGAAAATAACCTGTTTGGACCTGTTTTTCTGGACCTTTAGACAGACCATATTTTTGGTTCAAAGGTCAAATGCCAAATGGCCAAAAAGGCATCGAAGAGCTGAGCCAAGACAAACAGTCCTGATGAGTAGAGACGTAAGGATATTCTCAACTCACGCTACGATATGATTAACGATGTTGTGTTCAAGATTAGATTTTAGAATTTTTGTGAAGGTGTACAGTAGGTAACCCAGTTTGTTTTAAAGCTTTAGAGAAGATACTGACTCATAAAGCTGGGATTACAATGCTTTTATAATGTATTTTTTTCTGCCTTTCACCTTTATTACTTTTCTTCCTGTTTCAATATCCAATGTTACAATTCACTTGCATCAGACTTAGCAGACACTTTTATCCAAAGCGACGTACATCAGAGAGTAATTACAACTACCTTTTCACCCTGTACACTGCAGACTTCTCCCATAAGACACCTAACTGTCACCTGCAGAAGTTCTCTGATGACTCTGCCATTGTCGGCCTCATCACGGATGGGGACGAGGGGGAGTACAGAGAACTCAACCTGGACTTTGTGGACTGGTGCCAGCGGGACTGCCTCCAGATCAACGCGGGTAAAACCAAAGAGCTGGTGGTGGATTTCCGCAGGTGCAGACCCTCTTCTCCCACACCGGTGAACATCCAGGGAAAGGACATTGATAGATAGTGGACTCTTATAAGTACCCGCGGTGTCAGAAGGAGAGATACCGCAGGTCCTTCCTGCTGCAGTCAGACTGTTTAACCAAGCCTGCTCCCAGTAGATCACAAAACACACACACAACTGGACAATTCACTCTGACTTTGTGCAATAATAATGTTATATTAATGTTATATTATGTTTATCAAACCACTGTGCAACAACATGTTATACTTTATTTGCACTGTGTGCATGTCTGTGTTACACGGAATATTACGGACTACACTTTTGTCAAATAGCTGATCTATTCTTTTTTTTTTTAATCTTTTTTTTAGTATCTATTTCTTTTGTACATTCTTAATTTTGCTTTTTAATTTAAATTGTACTGTGTTCACTTTTTGTCTGCAATCTTTGCTCTTTGCTGCTGTAACACTGTAAATTTCCCCATTGTGGGATAAATAAAGGATTATCTTATTTTAAAACTAATCTATTTTTACACCACCACCGAAGCAGCGGGAGCAATGTGGGGTTAAGTGTCGGCCATGTCGCTCAGCTAGGGATTGAACCCTTGCCTTCCAGTTGAGAGGTAACGACTCTACCAACTGAGCCACAGCCACAGCCACTTGCTTACAGCGAACCTGATTTTATGTTGAAAAGACAAAAAAAGGGTTCTTCTGCAAGATTCTCAAAGTTTGGGAAGTTACGATACAGCTAAACAAACAAACTAGTGTTGTATTAGCTCCCTCTGAAGAGTGAGAGAAAACAAGACGTCCACTCGCTAATCTACATCAGAATCTTACATGGATGAAAAAGAAAAATGTTAAAATGGGCGCAGATATATTGCAGTAGCTGCCAAGGTATCGTCTATGTGTGGGCCTTCTAAACTGTAAATCTTCATCTGCTGCGCCATGTCTGTACGCCAGATGCAGACACAACAGGCAGAAGTCAAAGATCGCTCCTCGTGTGTAATGATTTTTAACTGTCTTGTGAGGTACTGTTACATCCCTATGCTCTTAAGGCCCAAATCTAGAGAGGAGCAGATTACAATCCTGCAAAGATACAGAGAATAAAAACCCTGAGAAAAAATGGCCACAAGCTTATTCAACAATGCCAACAAAAAGAGGAGATAAAAAGTACCAGAGCTGATCAGTGATTACTTGGCCTGTGTGTCTCTAATACCTGACCTAAAATCATCCAACGGACGATACAAGAACCAGTGAAAGATTGTGAATCTTAGATAAATGTGGGATTTCTTTTGTGGATTTCTTTTTTATGGAAAGTGTGCCATTCAAATCAAAATGCATCAAGAAATGGGCTTTGTTTGTATGAGTTATAATAACACTGGAGGGTTGAAACATTAATTGATAGATCTTTAATATTGTATTTAAAACATCAGAATGACATAATTAGAAACGTTGACTCGGATAGAGGATATTCTTTCGTGGCATTGTGACCTGAAAGTTAATGCAACGAGCGTGGAGAAAAGTGAAAGTGCTGATGGCAAGTTCCAAGGAAGCCAAGCAGAAACGGGTCACTGCTGACCTTCAGGAAATAAGTAACCTGATCGAAATAGAAGGTTTATTGAATACTCAGAAAAACATTTAGGGTTATAACCTACGTTCCAGCTTACATAGCTCACACCACCGTAAGTGAATGGATCGACCACGTGCTAACCTGATGGAGGATTTCCATTCAGGGAGAGAAAAACTACAACTAGAACGTCTTGCTTTTAGTCAAGAAGGGAGCGCTTCATTGAATGCTGCCCAACAAATAAGATATCATCAAACAAACTGGACAACATACAAAAACAGGCAACGAGACATTTTTCTGTTTGTGTGTGTGTTATGTGTGCCTGTCATTAACTATCCCTAGGGTGGTGGCATGTTGACACGCACTGATTAGATATACCTTGTCCCTAAGCTGTTTTAAATTCATGGGATCGGTAGGCGTCTTGCCTTTTTTCACTGAATGTTATTCATTATAGCAGACGGTATATTTCTGTCCCGGCCTCACCTGTGAAAGAAACGTTGACAACATATTGTGCTTTTTTTCGTTTCCTGTTTTTGCTCTTTGAGGATGTAGTGGCTTAAGATCCATTTCTGTTTTCTATCACTGGTAATATTGAGGTAATGAGCTAATCCATAATCTCTTTAAAAGGCCGGATAACGCTATCATGTACTTTGGCTTCTGTTGCTTTCTGGTGTTCCCCTTTTAATTGGGTTATCATTTCTTTGTGGCTATTATTTATAGAACACTGTTGTTGTTGTTGTTGTGTTGTTGTTGTTGCGAGGTGGTCATGGATAAATTGAGTGAACAGTTATATTGCTTTGTTTGTGCTTTAGCCAGCACTGTTGTATGTAAGATCTTGTATTTTTATAATTTTGCATGACACATCGTTTTTTGTGTTTGTCCAAACAAGTATATGACTGTATGGACCGTGATATTATCAAAACACGTAATGAGCATAAAGAACCTCTCAAATATTTTTGAATAGATTTTAATTACAAAAATTATCTCTTAATTAAAATTTGCACGTTTGATGGTTTTTCTCTCTGTGCATTTGCTGCCATGTTGAAACTCTCTGTTAAAGTTACACGTTATATGTTGTTTTGATGTTGTTCCTGTGCTGTTTGTCACTTCTCTTCTTCTGTGGTCTCCAGCTCTGCACAGTTGGAGCTGATGATTGTTTAACGAGGTGCACCTGGCCTCAGTGCTTAAAGCCCGACGCAGACTTCTGGAGGGGAGAGGCTGTTTGTTCGGGGACTGCTGTGTGGTGCCTCTCAGGCATCCTGTGTTGTTGTGATTTATGAAGTAAGTTATTGAGGTGATCTTTGTTTAATCATGTTGTCCTTTATGTGTCTTGTTGTTAAGGTGTTTTATGTGCTTTATTGGGTTAAGTTGCGGGATAGATAATAGGCCTTTTGGCCGGCTTCGGGTGACGTGTAACAAGGTTAAATTATACTGTATGGTAGCAAACTGGTAATTCTTCTTTTCACATCTGGGGTGTTTATGAAAATAATGGGTCGAGTTTTCTTTATACCACGGCCTAGTTATGACATTACTTTTCTACTATATCTGACTTTCTGTAGTTTCTGTTGACTTCAACTTGCGGTCGTTACTTGTTATGCTCATAGTGGGTAAATGTTGGATTGGGTCTTGGTCTGTTTTTTTTTTTTTTTTTTTTTAAGTAACATTTAGCATGAATTGGCACTATACAAATAATAATTGATTTATTTGATTGATAGTTCTTGTTTATTATGGGAGGGAGGTCATCATCATAAACAGAGATTTCCCCTATTTATCTAGAAGGGAGAGGCCAGGAGGACTTTGAACCATGCTGAACAGGTAGCCCTTCTTTATACACATTCAAGAAACAAATAAAATACAAGATTTATTAAGAGAAAATGTTTTTATTTTTTATATCCAATTTCAACAGCATGTATATTTTACTTGCTACCACAGTACCATAGATTGTAAAGAAACCCATCATGTCGTACTATGAGTGGAAGGCTTTCCTGAACTTTATAAGAGTGAATATCTTCCCTTTTGTGTGTGTTTGTTAGTAAGAGTGTCAAGTGTTTATACAGGGTCGGTAACGCTGTGTTCAAAAACTCTTACAAAATGGTGGTTTTTCTTCTAAAACATGAGCCAAATGTGTATACTTAGCACAGAGTGTACCTGCATAGTAAGAGTGTTTATTTGAATTCTACAGTGCACTCGTGATTTGTTTTAAAAATAAAAACACACAAACCATTGACATGCGCGCGCGCACACTCACACACAAATGAAGTTGATATATTAACTTAGGTTTGGGAGCAGGACCTCACCTAATCCACACCTCCAATTATCTGACAAGTCTACTTCTACGGGGTCACCTCACCACACTCTGTTTGTCTCAGTTCCTTCAACCCACCCTCCCTTCCCTCCTTCTCATCCATTCACCCTCCTTCCTCATCCCGTCCTCTACAACTCTGCACATGCCTCTCCCATGTCTGTCTCATTTCAGGTACAGTACGGGTCGTAATCACTTCGGGTAGATAAATGCCCGAGATGGAACCCCCCCCCCTGCTTTGAGTCTCCCTTTTGCCTGATCTCCAATCAACCTCCCAGACCAGCCTTAAAGACGACGGCCATCTCTCACCTACACCCCTCTCATACACACACATACATACTGTCTCAATATACCATACAAATTCACATGAAATGTTTAAACGTTATTGTTGTAGCGTGGTCCTTACTAGTGAATTACTGGCTAAAATGCCAGCAATGCATTCTGAACCTGTGAGCACCAACATCAGGGAATAATGGGAATGATTTAGGAGGTATTTTTTTCTTGAAGCTCAACCAATCAAATCAATTCTTGGGTGTTACTGTGCGATGGTTAAATGGTTGCAGTAAAGGTTTCATGACTGTGAATGTGAGGACTAGTAAGATTGAACTTCAGAATATCCCAGTTGCACATTCCCATAAACTCTGTTGTGTTTGACTTTACTGGTTACTTTGCTGCCTCTCAGTATTTCTGTTTCGTCGTATCGACTTGCATTAGAGCATCAAAGGGATTCCTAGTTAAACTGTGATTATGTATTAAGAGTTTAAATTCAATTTGATGGTTGATTTCTGACGTTAAACTTCCTGGCCCTATCCTACTGAATGAGAGAGAAGGTGAGGTCTGTCGTAAAATATGCTCCCTAGAACGCTCTGCTATGTGCTGCACTGTGTGCCACCCTGCAGCCCATAAATATCACAAATATCCGTCTTTCCTCTCCTCCTCCCTGTACCATACTTTCCCTCCCTCAACTATGCCCCCCCTGCTGCTCTGTATCCACTCCAGTGCCTCCAGTGCTCGTAAAAAGGTGGAGCTGACAGGTGCTGCAGACCCGAGCCAGAGATTAAAGAGTCAGAGGAATCATTAATGAGCTCTGGCTTGATAACTCACGAGTATTTTTGGATCATGTAAAATCTTTGTTTTCGATTCATTCCAAATTTGTTCACATCAACCACTGCCTTTAAACGCAGACCGACTGGTTCAAACGGGTTCTTAGCACACAAAAGTGTTAGACGTGAGTCAGCGAAAACAAACAGCTGCGAAGAGTTTAGATTTTTTTTATTGGAACAAGCAGATTTCTGCACCATTGCCATGTTTTCAGAGCCAACCAGAGCTAAATGAGGGTCCAGTCAGTGCTTATGTAAAAGTAAAGGAACAGGGGCAGAGAAGTAGGTTGGAGGTCAGTGTCAATAGCAACTTTGTCATGTTAGCTTATCTAACCACACTGAACTACAACAGAAAAGTTGGTGAAGTTGGATGTTTTAGCAGTTTTGACAAGCCTCCTGTCCTGTCTCAGCTGCCCACCTCCACGGCTCATATGTGAGCCTGTGAACTTTGTCTTCTCGGTTAGCGGCCTTGGCTCTCTCTGTTCATTTCTGTGTGCGTCATGCTGGTGTTGCAAGCTGTTAACGGCTCCTGCTGCTCGAGCAGATCAGATCTTCATTACCTCACCGTCACAACCAGCCGTGCTGTTGTTCAGTCAGCCCACACACATGGAACAGATTATTTTTATGAATGTAGACTATGTTCAGCGTTTGTTATCTGACCTCAGTTAAAGGAAGTACACACTGTATGGGGGCTCATTTTTCTTTATAACTCATCTAATAGTTATGCATGAGCCACCTTACAGTCAACCCTTTGCCTGTTACTTGATTGGTCGAAAGTTGGGTAGAGAAAGCATTTTTTAATATTGGGAACCAGGGCTGTAACCAGGGTTTAGAAAACAGGGAGGTACAGAATATTTTCTATCAATGTATTCTTTTCAAGGCATTTTAGGGCACGCAAAATTCATGACTTCAAAAGCAACCCAAGATAAACTACGACAACTCACACACATTTACTTCCTAGTTACAAAGTAATGATCCACCCATCACATGCAGAGTTTTTTTTTCCACAACTAGGTGGTGGGTGTGCGTTTTTAAAGGTCCCATATTATGCTTTTTCTGGTTTTATATGCCCTTTAGTGTGTTTTCCAAATGTCCTGTACATGTTTAGGCACATTATGTGCAAAAATTCAACGGGCTTCTCCTACGTCCTCCTGTTAGCTGCAGCATTAGCTGCATGTAACGCTCGGTTCTAGCCCCCCTCGATAAAAATGTGTCAGTGCGGCGTCATTGTCAGTGTGAGATCACTGATCTAAGCCCATTGGCTCGTTGTGGCAAACCCAGCAGCTCATGTTGAAATTTCCGAGATACGTGCTGAGCAACTGACCAATAACGACAGAGCGGATCACGTGGGGTCTAACAGTGTGGGCTCAACAGAGTGTAGCTGACGGACTCAGAGCGTAGAGGGAGCAAGGAGGAGCAGTACATGAAAACAGACACTTTTTTCTGACTTTAGTTATTGTGAACGTACAAAAGTAGAAACATAGATTAAATATACGAACCCCAAAAAGGGCAGAATATGGGCTCTTTAAGGCGGCTGCCTAAACTATGAAGCACGGCAAGAAACACAGAAGCAGTGTAGGGCGGGCCGTGACTTTCAAGTATTTCTGTAGGAGTATTTTCAAAGTAAAAGCCATCTAGTGCTTCACAGATTGATGGTAACAATTTTTGCTGTCTGTCTTGTTTTTGAAAAAATGGCCGAGGTCCAGACCGAGGTGACCTCATAGCTGGCTACTGCCATGTTGGGAATCCCATCATTGAAAATGCTTATATGTGACGATTTATATCATGTCATAGTTATTTGTCAAATTAGCCTTTAATTAGACTTAGTGACTATTTTCTGTGTCTTCAAAGAAATCTTTGATCCATCGAAAAGCCAGAATAAGATTAATTATCGAACAGGGAACAATATTACGGAACAAATCTGCAATGCATTTTCCAAGCATTGACAACCTGTAACAGAAATAAGTGGAAAAAAAACTCAGCCTCTTCTGAGCCGTAATCCAACAAAAGTTCACTCACGCAGCAGACGGCCTCGCTAAGCAGAGCCCTCTCATCACAAAGCACACAATGCCGGGATTCACTTCTAAAACAATAGCAGGCTCGTTTATAAATGAAAAGTTGAAAGACATGAAAGCTGAATACGTCCCAGCATATGGTTGCCAGATATGAAACAGATTTCCGATCATGCAACTACAAGTTCTTTGCTTTTTTTTTTAATTTATGGAGATGATCAAATGGGAGGGTGATGATGAAGTGAGGGGGGCCTGTTTGACTTCAGAATGGTGGGTGGCGTGTTAGTGTGTGTGTGTGTGTGTGTGGCGTGTGTGACTGTGAGTCATCTTTTGTAAACGCCAAAAGATGACAGACAGCTTCATTTCACATGCTTTGATTTAGACATACATCATATGTGCAGCAGGAAGGCGAGATCCTGTCTGTCAGACTCTGTGTGCATCAGAAACTCATCTTGATTTCAGCTTTACTGTTCGTCCTGTGATCCCAGAAATATAATAATTATTATTATAATACATTTTATTTAAGGTCACCTTACAGAGCAGAGATAAAAACAACAAAGTAACAATACATCGATAACATGAACATCAAAAAGACTCATTTACAGGATGTAGAGGCCGGACGGAGAATGAGCAGACTGAATATTCCAGTTTAAAAATTTGTGTTTTGGGACGAGATTTAAAAATGGAGAGAGAGTCAACATTACGGATGTGTGGTGGGATGGAGTTTCAGAGGCGGGGGGCAGAGCGGCTGAAAGCCCCATAATGTATCCAATATATCCAATATGTCAAAGTTGTTTCAGCAGTTTGACTTCTCTACTCTCTTCGTCAGCCTCATCCACAGCTGTTTGCAGATGTTAGTTTTGGGATTTTTTACAAGGGATGACACTGACTTTCTTAAACCTGCATAGAAAGCTATGATTGGCTTTGTTTTCTTAAAGGGAATCAGCCACCCAAGAGCACAAAGCTACTTTAAATGAAATCTAAAAATCAGGGTTTTTAGGAAAGATAATCTCTTTGTTGTGTTATCAAATCTTAGCCTTCTCTATACCCGACTGGAACAGAGATGACACCATCAGTAAAATGAATGGATCCCTGTGAGACCGTTTTTTTCCTATGTTTCATCCCTAAACACTCACACAGGCCCACACACACGTTTTATATTCACAAGCTTTCCTATATTTAGACTTCAAGTAATGAAATGAGATATCAGAGAGTTTTTAAAGGAATTCAGGCACTTTATTTCTCAACATTTACGGCTCTATAACTTGTGTAAGAGAGACACTTTTCACTGTTTGCTCACAAAGAAAAACAACTTTAAAAAGCGCCAAGGGGGATAAAACCTTATAGCACCCAATAACCAGAGCAGCAACCAAAATAACCTTTAACAGTTCCAGGTATAACACACCTCGCCGTTAGAGCTTAACTGGCGTGCATGTAGATAGAGGCCTTGGTTTATAGTTCTCCATGTGTGTTTCTGCCTTCACAGTCTACTGGTTAAACTAAATATCTCATTATAAGAGCGAGGTTTGAGGTCGACTCAGCCGCACGGAGAATTCTGAAGGGTCAGGTATGGAAAGGATGAAATGTAAACATCAAACTAGCGTGATTTATATAAAGCTCTGTGTCCAGTCACTTGTAAATAGAGACTGTTTTTTTATCATTTAATGGCACACTGTGTAACAAGCCACATCTTTATCCTGTTAAGCTTTATTAATTTGGCCTCAGCTTTTATCCAGACTTTATAGGTTCCTGGATGCCTGAACTGCAGAGGTGGGGCTTGTTGAACAAGGCTCACCCACTCTTAGCTTTGTAAACAGCTGTGAACCACACACACACACACACACGCACACACACACTAATTCACATATGTACACACAAGGCACACAGACTAGATACAGTGAATCAGACGGGACTGAAAGGATCGTTGTGTTCACGTCTGTTTTGCATTCAAATATCTAAACCTGCTTCTATCTATAAAATATACAATATTCATTCAGTATTTTTCAGAAATCCAGGTGCAAATTAAAAGATTAATGAAGAAGTGATAGTTTAATGTTGATCATTTGTAACCTGTTTAGTAGTTTAGCAGCTAGTAGCAAAAATGCCGTTCAGCTTGATAAGAAAAGCAGGATAATGTCAAAGTGTGTTAAATGGCTAATCACTAAGATCGGATCATTTGTTGAAACATCGGTGGTCGAAACAATCTCAGAATGAGGTGAACTTATAGACTGTATGGACATAGTCTCAGTGACGTCACTCATCGGGATCTGAAG